GAATAAATTTATTGCTCAATGAGATGAAAGTAGATAAATACACATCAATAATAAAAAGGTAAAGCTAGATCAATCAATGCCCTCTCTCTCACTATATATATATATATATATATATATATATATATATATATATATATATATATATAAATAAATGGGATATTTGTGTAGTTTTTCTTTATGATTAATTTAATTGTAGCTCAAGGGTTAGATATCAGTTGATAGATACGATGAGTTACTTCATAAGAGAATAATACAATATTGATGAGAACGTTTTTTATGGGGATTTGGTATGAGTGACTGAAGGGGGTCGATAAAGAATAGGAACAGACATAACTAATGCCTTAATAAACATTTTCAATACGTTTTATGTTGATATGTGGTTTGATAAAAGTATAGGATGGGTTTCATCTAGTGTTTAAAACATGATGGCGAAGGTATTACATGAATAGATGTGTGGTAGAATATATATACATTTTATATTTAATAACAATGTTAGGTATATTGATGACAAAGTGGGTACTTCTGTGTGACACGTTTTTCATTTAGAACTTCGTTGAACTAAAGTAATGTTTTTGTTGATGGAATTATATATGTGTAATGAGGGGAGGGGGAATATTCAACGTTGGTTATAAATGTGGAGACTGAAAAAAAATGAAAGTGTTGGAAGCGCTTAAATTTAAAAGTTTAAAACAAAATGAAATTTGATGAGATGAAAAATGTTGGAGAAATTGTTTTTACCTATAACATTATTTTTATCTATTTTTCCCCGTAACGATAAATTGGTCAGGAAAATATAGTCGGCCTAGTCCATCTTTCTTTGAGCCGAATGTCAGTTGAAACATGTAATAGCGATGAATGTAACACGTTTCTTACCACCTAACTGTGCTCGCATCCACTATTTGGTTTCCATCCGTAGCATCTATAAATATCAAGCGGTTAATCAGCATCTAATAAATATTATTTGGTGCTATTTTCTTCTGAACAATGACTCACTTCTTTGTACACACAATTTGAGGTTACGTCATTTAGCCTGACTGACGCTTAACTGCTATCGGTAGCAAAGTAAAAAAAAAAAGACAAAAAAAAAGACAAAATAAACAAATAAAAATTCATATTATATTGATATACCACCAACATCCACCTCTCACGTAGTGATGAACAGTATAAAAAGAGGAGGCATTTTTAATGCAAAATTTGTGATAAAAAATGTTACTAAAAAATAAATCAAAATATAAATATATCAGAACTAGCATGCATGGCCCGGCGTTGCCCGTGCTTGATTCAAAAATCGTACGACTCATACAGCAATCGCTATCACTTCACTTAAAATATTTTTGCCCTTCCTTGCCTTTAAAGGAGTGCCCTTTGCCGTGCTGATGTTGCTACATGCCTTACTTCTTGCCTATCTCACACTGCGAATTTTTTCTAAGCTCTATACTAAACATTAAATCTGTTACGAAAAAAGAACTAAACAAAATGAACACAAAACGATCAGCTTTAAAAAAAGACTCGTAACTGGAAAAACCAATTGAAAAAACAATGTTAACAACAAAATACATTTTCACACCCAACCCAGTTCTGCGGAATCAGAATCATCGTTGAGTTTAAGCAAGTGAATGAGTCAATTGGAGTTAAGTGCCATGCAGATTTAAATTTTTCCCACTTGTGACGAATGCAGCTATCGATTTTTTTTTTACATGCTAGCATGCTAGTTAAAATTCACGTCAGTCAGCTGTTGGCTCTCACGTTGGCCAATAGAATCTTACTGTCTATTCGTGGCAGCCAGCTATAGCCAGCTATAGGTTCTCACTCTAGCCAGTAGAAAATGGCCGCGAACTACATGAAAACTGTCGTAGAAGCATGAAAAAATCGATTATTTCCACTATCGATGGTAGTTGGGAAATGCAACGTCGATCTTGTCCTTTCCGCTAACTTGGAGCATGTGCATGTAAATTTTGGTGCAAATCCGTCAAAAATTGCGGCCGTGCATTCGTTACACACACACACACACACACACACACACACACACACACACACACACACACACATCCTGCCTTTTTTAGATAAATAGATATAAAACGCGTAGACGTGGAGATATATTGAGAAAATGACTATGAAATATACACCTTATGTTTGGAGGACAGTCTATAAATATGATAGCGTTTTAAAAATCTAGATTACGAAGACTAACCTGTAGAAGCAATTTAGATTTTGTCACTTTATATTTTCGAATATATATACATATACTATACAGTACTAATTTGTTTATTTCAATGATTTAAACCAGCATTATTAAATGCTATGTTACGTACATTTCTTAAAAACAACTTTTGAATATTATTATTTTTTGGACTAAGATATTTTCCATGACAACTTTCAAATTGTCATTCTAATATCCTTAAATATGGAGCGTAGACCTGGGATGTAAATACGATCGCCCAAAACAAGAAAAAGTACAAATCTTTGACAAGAATTCATTACCGATTCCAAGATATACATATATAAAGACAAAGAATTCTATAATAATTCAAGAAAGAAATAAAAAGAGTTATTAATAACGTTTCCATGGGCTTTGTTGAGTAAAGCATACTTGAGGAGCGAAACAAATAATAGCCCATAAAAAAACAAAAAAAAAAAACAAAAAAAAAAAAAAAAAAAAACTTAGAACAAATTAAATCAAGAACATCCAAGATACAAGTAGATATTAGAGTGTTCGGAAATAATTACACCATTTCCAGTGTTCTTCAACCTTTTTGATACCACGAACTGGCTTCATGCCGAACAATCTCTCCTCTGAAAGGTAGTGGCACACATGTGTAATTTAAGTGCATTTCGATAAATAGAGCAATAATAATAATAATAATAATAATAAGACAATTTATTAAAAGGAAGAAAAAGTGTATAATCTTTTAACTTTCATGTCTAGGGTACAGCCGGACCAAACTCTTAGTTTTCTTGAATCAAGCCCTATAATCACATCAATATCAACTTACCATAATGTGGAATCAATGTAGAATCTGAAAATTAGTTGGATTCAGAAAATTAGTTGAAAATTATTACAAATAAATAAACATAGATAGTAATTTGTTTGGTTTAGTCTGTTTCACGGAATATCAACCTCAGGTGGTTATATAATGACAACAACATTTTTTATTGCTGGTAATATTTCTAGTAATATTTTTCCCTCAAAATTTTATTACTGGAAATAATTTTTTTTCAAAAAAGTATTTCTGGTAATAGTCAACTATTGACCCATATGTGGGACCCTAACAAGCGCTACCACCCCGGGTCAGGGTGGACCTGCGAACACCAGCAATTAAGAGGTGGTTCCACGCTCCTCAAAACCTCCTGATCAGAGGCCTTGCTGCTGGACTTAGTTTATCGTCTTACCCAGGACACGGATGTAGTTTAACGTCTTACTCAGAACGATATGTTAATTGTAAAATGTAATTACAGGTATAATGATAGTAAAGGTAGACGCAAAATATACATTAACTATAAAAATATACACTAATTAGAAAATGAATTTATATTTAAGATAGATAATGTTTAGTAGGTGGATGTTGAGTATTTAATCAAATCATTTTCCATTAAAATCCAATAGTCAATTTATAAATTATATAATTTTAAACAAGATAATTATTTGTTTGTGGCCTGGTAGTAAATGATCCGCTAACAGGTAGCTGTGCGCGGCCTGGTGGTTGGGGACTCCTGTCTTAAAGTATATAAAAGTAAGTGTAAATTATTTAAATATCGCAAATGTAATCACCTTCATTTTCGGCCACCATAGCCCAACAGAAAGGTAGATTTCCACTCCTATAATTAAACAAATCTGGGTTACTTATTAACAAAAAGTTTGCAAATCTTTTCCAAATTTTGTTTTATGACTATTATGAAATGTTATAGAGATCGTAACAAATAAAAATCTCTAGTTGTTAAATTTGATGCGAATGGAAGTTGTGGAAAACCTGTCAACGTAACGATCTTATTTTTTTTTGTCTTAGGATTGTTTTGCAGCTTGTACCATTGCATTTTCCTGCTGGATAATAGTAACTTTTCGGTTTATCAAATAAGGACACTTTTCGGCATTAATCCGATCAAGTTGCTGGCAAAAAAAAAAAAAAAAATAGTCCTTTCATAGCTACGAATATACCAAATCTTTAAATTCCTCTAAAGGCAAAAGTAACGGCTGAGAGTGTTGGCTTTAGTATTGACACTGGAAACTCATTTTTGGTAACAAATATCTTTTTCGTCTTCTCTGGGCATACAGAACCCATTTGTCATCACCTGTAATAATTAGCCGAAAAATGAAGGCTTGAAATTCCTGTTAAAAAGACTATTTTGACATTCCTGGTAAAAAGACTATTGTTGGACATGTGTTCGTTTCTCAAGTGAAAACTGATTAGGAATCCAATTACCTTCTTTGCAATTTGTCCCAATTAAACTCAAAACTCTACTATAAACGTAAAACAGTTGGATAGAAGAGGTGATAAACTAATTCGAGACGGAGATTTGTACAATCCAGTCTTGTGCTGACTCATAATTCACATAGGTTAGATGCGTAATTACAAATGTCACGTGCATGGACAGATGTGATACTGTAAATCATATAAGAAATGAATGTAACCAAATGACTTATAGAGATTATAAAATTAGCATGATTAGACAGAAATTAGGCTTTACTAGGAATTGTGAAAAACGAAACGGATTTGTAATATAATCAGAAACCTTTTGCTATAGTAACCAAAAAAAAAAGGAAACGTTTAGAGAAGTTTGAAAGACATCATCCAATCAAAACCAGACAAACAGATTATAATCGTAAACAAAGAAATTGTCAAATTGTTGGTATCGAGATACGAGCAAAATAGACTGTCAAAATAAAAGAAAATCTGCAAAGATATGGCTGCCTTATCAGAAACGTGAAAAAGTTGTCTAGTAGACAATTGTACTTACAATAATTGGAAAGCTTGGAGCATTAGTGAAAAAAATAATGGAAGAAA